TATCTGAGCTTGCGATCTTTTGTGAGATTGGCAACAGTTTTCTGCAAACCCATACAATTTAACTTCTAAACACAGAGTACTGTCAGTCTTGCAGCCGCTGACCTAAACGACATATGTTGCTGAATTCGCGTTGTTTTCCGTGATTGACTACATAAATCTTTACCAGCGAGTTTAATTCATGAAACGCCTTTACCGTTGTTCCGTTTAATAGGAACCATAGATGAAGAAAGCGGTGACAACGGCAAAAGCTTCTGCTTCTCAGCCTTTTCGTTCAGCGCATTCATGACGTTTGTTGCTATCGTGTTCACCACAACGGTCGTCGCATTCTGCATGATCTGTAAACGCAAACAGTCTCAAGAGAAAGCAAAGCCGCACAAGTAACGACCGGCAGAAGTACTCAATGTAAAGGTGAAACTCCGGCGATGCTGATGCCCCATATTTAACCTCTGCTGGTTTCAATCGAACGACGAGCCATTCGAGCTGTTATTGCTGTAATTAAGCTGTACCTGTAAACTACTGTACACTTGATATTATTGAATTCAATCGATGCGTTGACATGCACAGTACCTGAATAATACCAACATGCTTCACCATGGCATGAAAGTTGTTCAGTATGGCATCCATGACTTGAAGAAAGACTTACTTTGTCGTTCGCAGTCGATCTCTGAATGAACAGAGGGAGCTTGAATGTCAAGTAGCGAAACGTGCTATGCGAATGATGATACAATGTTCAAATAAATCTGAAACTTCGTATATTTCTGTATTTGAGAGACTTGTGTGAAATTGCGCCTGAAACCGAGTTACATTTACTAGGTGAGCAATGCTACATTGCAAAGATTTTTAAAAGAAATGCAGATCAAGCAATATGACTGTAGGGTATACAGGTGCGACTATTTCCTGGGACGGTTATTCGCCTGCTAAGCGAGAGTATCATGTGCTCAGGCTAACAGATTAATGCAAGACACAGTCAAAAGCCTGAAATAAAACACTTTAATAGGTGAAGCTTTCGGAACTCAGGACCATGTTCCTTCTTCAGCACAGCATATATTATATTCTAGGCTTCTAACCGTGTTTTGCCTGGATCTATTAACCTAAGAGCCTGTTTAGATTTTTTCGAAGTTTATGTGCTCAAGTTATTTCGCTGTTTTGTTATTTCGCTGGAAGATAGCAACAAAGCAAAATCATCTGCAAACAACAAACTTCTCGTCTCTACATCTTCTACTATAATGCACTCGTCACCCCGGCTGTACCTGAATATCCTATCTATGTGCAACAAAATCAAGAGAGGGGACAGAATGCGCCCTAGGCAGAAACGATTGCCAACACTGAAAGGTTCTGAGTTGATGCCGTTTACATTCACACAGTACTTGCAATTATAGCATACAGTGACTGGGTGGTTAGCAGCAATTGTTCATCCATCCCATATTTCTGCAGGCACGCCCACGGAGTGTTGCACCCAATCCGGTCAGAGACCTTTCCCCAAGTTTACAAGGGACACAATGAGCGAACTCGTAAGATTGCCCAACAATCTGGTACAGGAAGAAGATTTGGTATGAGATGTTTCGGCTCGACCTAAAGCTACATTGCTCTTTTTGGATCTTGGAGTCAGCAGTTCCACTGCACTTGAATTTCAATAGCGCTGCGTGGACTTTTCCAGGAGACTCAGTAAAGTAATGCCTAGACAACTGAAACATTTTCTATGATTTTTAAAGAACAGGGATGCTATCACACCAGTCCTCCAATCCACTGGCATCTTCCCGTAGTCATTCCAACGGCCTTGTCACTTGTTAAGCTGTTGTGACTTCATAGATAGCAACTAAAGATCAATATCAGTTGCTTGCTGCTTTTCAGGCGAATCTTTGTGCAGTTATTTACGGTTAAGGAAATCCTCAAAGTACTTTCTCCGTCGCTGAATTGTCCTCATCCTTGATAAAAGGATGTCCAGACTTGTCTTTCAGGACTCTTAGACCACTCAGACAACTATCCATCACAGAGGCGGCGGATAGCTTACCAAAATACGCTGCCTGGAAATTCGACTCCAACGCAACACTGCGCATTTTTCATGAGAACATCAGATTTCGAATTTTGCCACCAATTCAGCTGCCGCCTTACGCGCTTCTTCTATCGCATTTCAGCTGAAAATTCTCTTCTTCCAACCTTCCTATCGAATGTAGCCTTGTTCTCCCTGACAGTTATTCGAATCTCTGGTGTATGCCAGAAAGCTTGTTTGTGACCCCCATACCGCAGTTAGCGAGTATTAAATCGTAGCATTCGGCAGCAACAAACAGTGAACCACTTTTGAACAGCTTCCATTAGGTTTCTACACCAGCCGTCATCATTTGAATCTATTCAAGAATTCGTGCGATGCTTACTAGTTTCTTCCTGACATCTGCAGACGAGAGCGCTCCATCTCCATTTGCTTCTCTGGGCCGTCTCGGACCATGACTTTTCACAGTAATCCATCCTTTGCAGCTGATGGTGCCAGCAACAAGGTGGGAATTGCTTGATGGTAAGGCCCGATTGAGCAGCTCTTAGAATCTTTCCATTTGGTTTCCGCGTCACCCATCATCACTGGAGTCTGTTTCGACCATCGTGCAAATGATGTTACTGCTGGAAACGTTGTTTGTAACTTTCGTCCTTGTATCCGCAGAACACAATGTTTCCCACTTGATTCTCTGGTTGCTTCTGCCATCAGATCTTCGTATGGTACTCCATTTCTTACAGCACAGCGTGCCAACAACAAGGTGATGATCGGTTGATAGCTCTGCTTCTCTCTTGACCCGAACATCCATTACAGAGCGTCTTAAGTCAGACCATACGAATATCAAATCTATCTCGACTTCTGTGCACATGCATTCCTATACCAGGTAGTTTTATGTGCGTGTTAATTTCCTGCGAACGTGTTTATGGCAGACAGTCCGCCATTTGCGTCATAGCGCAGTAATTTTATGCTCTTATTGTGATGATAAGGAAGGTTGTTCTTTCCAGCGCTCCTTTCCGCTTTTAAATGTCTATTTGACATGCAAACTGAAGTTGGTCATCAGAATTATGAATTCCGTTAATAAACCGTTCATAATACCATCTACTTCCTCCTCACCTTCCATCACTACTCTAACCGAACAGCCTGTGCTTACCCCGAAATCATTAACTCATTCTTACAAAATATACATTAGGATGTTTGCATTCTGAGGATAGCCTAGTCGTCTACAAGCTTCGTTATATTTAAATTCCCTGCATGATATAAACCACGCAAACGCTACTGAGCATCGAGCTCACCGCCGTACCTATCTTATTCGTTTTATATGGCTTGCTGAATACGATCATATAACTGCTTCAGCACTTGTCAGAGATAAACTGCAATCGATCAAACAAACGCCAAATGCACAGAATGATTGACTGAAAAAGGAACGAAGCATGTACTCAAACTCATATTGATACCGTTCCATAAATGACCTAAAATGAATAGATTCGACTGTCTGCTTAGTGGCACGAAAGAAAAACGAATTTTTTATTTATCACAAGTCGCTGTCCTGACCAAAACAGCATCGGCCATCATCATGACTAGACAGATAAATGCACAACTGCCTTAGGTCAGTTTATATTTGTTATGACTGGTAGAAACATTTATTTATTCATTCATTTTCCATGACTGCTTCCCCTTCCGGGTCGCGGAGTTGACATGGCAGAAATTGCTTCCAATGTTACTGATCCTGTGCCAGAGTTTAAGCTTCTGCAGAAGATAACCGGAGTCTAGAGCAGACTCCTTCAGTACATTTACACCAGATTAATCTTGGCAGTCCCTTGGATCTTCTGCCGATCAGCTGGGCAGACAGCGGTTGCTTCGCCTTCCTTTCTGGAAGCTTTCGTAATACGTGACCACGTCATCGCAGCGGTGACTTCACAATCTGAACAAGCAGAAGTTGTACACAAAGGATCTCTCGAACTTCTGTATTCCGGATTATGTTCAGACGCATGAGGCCGACGATTCGTATTAGAAAGCCCGAAAGCCCATTTCAACCGCTTATACACGGGATCGAGCTTTTCAGTCACGGCCCACAACTCATGATCGTAAGTGAGCATTGGAATGAAGATCGACTTGAACAGCGAAAGCTTAGCTATCACAGTCAGCTCTGCCTTAGTCACAATGGTCCAGGCTAGTTCAGGCAAAATGCCGTTGGCTACTCCAATCCGCCGGTTGATCTCTACCTTTCATTTTCCGTCATCAGCAAACACGACTCCGAGGTACTTAAACTTCTCCACTTGCTCCACTGCCTCTCCGTTCATCTCAAGATGGCACTAGGCAAGAGAGCAACAAAGCACTAGGATTTTCGTGTTAGATGCGTTCACACGAATGCCTGTCACGTCACACTCAGCTACGAACCATTTTAGGGAGCACTGAAGATCAGTTTCAGAAGAGCCAATAAAACAAGGTCGTCTGCAAACAGCAACTTTCTCGTCTTTATATCCCGATGCACTCATCGCCTTGGCAGCTCCTGTCTATTGTATCCATGTACAGTACAAACAGGAGAGGGAACAGGACGCAGCCTTGGCAGAAAAAATTGAAAGGATTCGACTTAAACGCCATTTACTATGATGCCGCATCTGCCATCAGAACATAGTGATTGGATGGCAATCGATCCTCTATCATAGATTGCTGCTCGGGAACTGGTCCTAGGCTTTCTCTAGGTCCACTAATCATATATAAGCCGGATGATCGAACTCCCACGATTTTTCAACAATCTAGCGACGGGCGAATAACTGGTGAGATGTACTTTGGCCGGACCGGAAGCCGCAGTGCTCATTTCGGAATCAGCTATTCCACAGCGTGCTTTTTTAGAACCTTTGCGCCGACTTTATTCTGAAGGTTCGATGAGATAATGCCACGAAAATTAGAGCATTCCCTATAGTCTTCCTTTCTGAATAGGGGCACTACAATTCCCATCCTTCAATCCGCTGGTGTCTTTCCTGCAGTCATTGTTATTCGACAGACAAGTGTAAGCCAGCCTGTGTTGTTCGCCTACTGTTTTGAGCCTTTCAAGGCGGATATCAGCGATTCCAACTACCTTTTTACCTTTAAGCTTTTCACAGCTTGTGTGAGCTTATCTACAGAGTTGCTAATATCCGTTCCTTGCTGCTCTTCAAATGAGTACTTCCTGTGTTTCTACGGGGTTAAGGAGTTCGTCAAAGGATTCTCTCCATCGTCAAAGAATATATTTATCCTCGGTAAGAGGGTGTCCAGACTTGTCCTCAAAGACTCTTAAGCGGTCATTTTTTTGGTTTTAAACGAAGCGGATGGTCTGCCAGATAACCTTGCTTACACTCTGATTTTCGACTACAACAGCTCACTCAACTTCTCTTAGACGTCAGGTTTGGCCTTCGTCACTGCCGCTTTGCGCGCTTCTACATACAGCATCGAAGTT